AAATGAGGAAATTTTCTGGTCGTCAAGCTGTTTTTCTTCGTTCGATTCATCTAACAAACTTTGACCTATATTTGTCAGCCATTCTGACTCTTCGTTGTCGGAAATATGATTCAAATTGTCCGCAATTTTTTTTTTCGTAACTACAATCCAATTCTTCGCTTGCGCGATGCGAGAAAACCTGTTTAACCGGTACTCTACCATAAACGAGTACAAATACCGCGTGATATTTGTACTCGTCTATGGCGTTCTTTGTAGTCTAAGAAGTGTAGTTTGATAATAAAGTAACTTATTACCTGTTTACCCTTGAAAGAGGCTCGACGAAATTTTTCATCTCTTAAATCGAGGGGGGCAGTGGGGTTTGTGGTTTTGGCTAGTTTTTAGATCGGTTTTACGGTTTTTGTGCCTGTTGTTCATTGCGTTTTGCGGATTTTCCGATTTCAGCATTTGGTTTTCGGTTTTCTCCGAAAATTGTGACAGGTACTCGGATTTAGTATCGATGTGTTTTTTCGGTTTTTCATATTGGGGTTTCTCTTCGATCTGAGCAGCAGTTATATGGCTCTGCTGATCTCGAATAGCCGCGAAACCTATGTTGCTCCATTTGTAACCACAGTATCAGATCGATTAGGATTTTGACAACTGAGATGTGCAAATTTACTGATCGGTTTAGACGATTTTGCATGCGGTTTTGCGGTTTCTAATAGACCCCCAATGCCCGCCTGCAAATCATTTTTAAACATTTTTCTTTGTTTCTAAGAGAATATGTTAATGTGTTTAATCGTCGGCAACTTTCATTATGCTGAGCTTTCACTTTACTTCGAGGGGAATTTTCGTCTACTGCTTTACGTATCTTCTTGATAAAATTGTCGGTACTGAAATTGATATTCTCTGTTGTCAGCGGAATTACACAAAGACCTATTGAACTAAATTGATCTAAAAACGGTTTCCTCCTCTAAACTTCTTATTTACCTTAAAGAATCGATTCTTTACGTTTCTTTTAGAAAGGTGTTTATATTTGGATGACCTGGTCGCAAGCTTTTCAATTATCTACCGATAGATCTATGTCTGCCGGGAACCAAATATCTTGACCACATACAAGGAGTTTAACCACCTGCCTGGCGATAACACCAAATTTGAATAGAAATTAGGTAAATATTGAAGTCCGCTTCGAAATATTCAAAGTTAACCGCAAAGTATTTGGATGGATTCGCATGTTATGGCCTCTCAGCCAATCATTCAGGTCGGGGATTTCTGTCTCTAAAATTCCTAGCTATTTTGCAAGTTCAAGGCAAGCTGATACTTGCTGCTAATATGTGGGATGTTTGGAGGGCCGCCAGTCTATGATGAAGGAATTCATTGCAAGATATCAGAGGTAATTTTGGAATTGTGATTGGAAGGCATTTCACACCGAAAGACTTAAATCGAGGCTCCCAAATTTGCTCGATCATAGTTAATGTTATTCGCTCTATTAACTATAGCTCGATGAATTTATTCAGCTAAGTTGTACAAGCTCATTGTTGAAAACTTTACATCTCGCTTCGATTCGCCGAGTTGTGGATATTCCTTCAACCTTCGATCAATAAACCACAGTAAGACCAATAGTGTTACTTCATATATTTGTTTTCCTTATGATTAGAACCTATTTTCAAATTTAGCGGTGCCAATGCAGGTAGCACTTGGAATTAGATTGATACTATTTTCATTGTTTACTAATAACTTTGAGACTGCATACTTACACAAAATAAGTTTTTTCGAATAATATGGTTGGATGGGTAGTAATACAAGAGTCGTTGCAAAACATCGATATATATTCTCAAAGAAAAGCCTTTTATTTTTCTGCTGGGATCGTTGTCTGCGCACGTTCTGTATTCCGAGATAGTACTGTTTATGTCAAGCTGCGTTCTCAGAGAACTGTTCAATTTTTTTGAACGGATGATGCTTGAGGACAAATATACGATAACATTTTCCCCAGTTTCTTCTACATGTGCAACTTCTGAGGTAAAGATGCGTGACTGAAACTTCCCAATGTACTATTTTCTTTTAAATTCAAATTGCGCGTATTCAGTTCTTGAGGTGACAACTAAATCTATCTGGATATAGGTTTGCCCACATTTTTCCTTGGTGAAAAGGTGTATTATTCTTTCCGAGAAAAGACAAGGCCTAGTTCAAACTAAAAATTCTCTTAGCAAGTATATCAAACTTTCTTGAGAAAACAAAGTTGTACCCTGAATGAAAACTGCTCTTGTTGTGGAGAAAAGCTTTGCTTCAAGCAATCTAGGCTAAAAATGTTCCACGTTTTGGTTACTTTACGGATGACATATTGTTCGTTTTAGATACCACTGTGTTTTCCGGACCAAGAAGTTAGCATTATGTCGATGGCGCAACCGGTGAATCAGAAATGGTTCTGGAACCTCATGCTGCTCTTTATTTTGGTGCTTCCAACGGTGGGACAGTTCACGCTGCCATTCCTTTATATGCCAATAAAACGCCTGCTGAAGAGTGAGTTAGCAGATAAACCTAAGTATAAAAAAGTTACCACTGAAGACATAAGGAAGCTTGCTGACTTGTCCTTAGAGAAAACATATTCTAAAGATATGAGATCAATTTTAGATGAAATCCCTGGTGAATTTTATCGATCGACATTTACAGTTGATAATTTATTGAACCTTGACCATCAGTGGTCCTTTGAAATCCCATTCGAAGATTTGAACAGCTCTATTTCTACTGAAAGCGTCGCATTGAAAATGACGCCAGCAGATTTTCAACAGGAACTCCTGAGATTTACGAGCGAAAAATTTCTTTTTTCTGTTCATGATGTTTCATCACGACTGGGTATTCCTACTGTCAATCTTTCGCAATCGTACGATCCAGGAGAGTGGGAGACTGTAGTGCATGCAATGATAGCGGAGAGTTCTCTGGCATTCAGTGACAAACTCCAACTCCCATCAGTGGATGCCTTAGCAAACCTGGTGCAAATAGGAACCCAGGAACTACTAAATCTTAACCTTAGCACATTTGAGGGCTTCGTATTTCCTTTCCCTCCAAAGAAGGCAATTCTTGACGCAAATACGACGTCCACGATTTTCAATTCTTCAGGTATCTCGGGGGCTTTGTATCCTGAGAGTACTTTATCAGAAGCCCTAAAAAATGAGAACATATTACTTTCACCGCAACAGTTCGGTATTTTGTACAACATGAGCGAAGGGCAAATCAAGACTCTGGACCGATCCACTCTGAAACAGATACATGACATGTGCATGATTCCTATTGAGGACATTCTAAACAAGACATTGCCGGATGCCTCCCGGAATGTTTTTGGATCAGTTGATCATCCATCTGCTTGCCCAATATTAATCAAGATAAAAGGGAATTCGATTTCCTCCCTTCAAACAAATCTAGGGATCATTTCCGAGCAGATGACTGTGCTAAGACTTCTCACATCAGTTGCCAATCTATCGTGGCATGCTGTTCGCTGGTCAGTAGATGCTTCTTTATCAGACTGGGAGATTCTAGATGCTGTAACATTCCCACTGCTTGGTGAAATCTCAGGACATGGAGTAGAAAGCTTGCAAAACAATTCTGTAAGCGAGTCAGTCAAACTCGTATTTTCCCTCAAGGATAATGGCACTCTTGACAACATTACGGAGAGCTATCGTGCATTCACTACAGGCGTGCTGATTGAGACATTCAATCTAACATTAAACGAGGTGGCTACGCTAACAGGAATGGCTGATGGTTCTTTGATGAACGTTTCGTCCGCTATTCTGTTCCAAACCTTTTTCAATGCAACAGTTGTCTACTTCAAGCTGAATTCAAGTGAAGTTATAAAGGCTCTGCAGATGACAGAGGAAGAGCTCTACTACTTGCCAAGACAAGAATGGAATGACACGATTTCTGTCATAATTGATGCTGTAGTTAAGGTCGAGGCCACAAAGTTACAAATGTCAGTCGCAAACCTGTTTCAGTTGATAGGTTATAACTCTAATGGGCTTAGCATTTCTCAGCTGAAGAAGCTTATTGAAACTCGTTTTCAAGAGGTTAAAGAGAAAAAAGCCAAGTTTGAGAGCGATCCTTTGAGCTGGTATTTAGCCAACAATTCTATCCCAGATGCTGATTATTTGAATACGTCGATTCATACCTTGTTATCCGGAAGTGGTTTCACAGATGCAGAACTGAAACTCATTTACGATCTCAAACCTGCTCAACTGTTCATCCTCGAAGGATTGCGGTTTAGCGACCTGCCCCGTGTTTGTCAGTTTGATRCCTCTGCCGCTAAGGAGAAAACACTCCATAACATTACAAAAGAGCTAGTTGGAATAAGAGAATCTCCAGTTTTGTGTGTAACTACAAGATTTTATGTGGATTCAAGACAAAGGAGCATGTCTTACTTGCAAACAGCTTTCACTATCATTGAAAACTCGACCGTTTCATTTGTGAATCTTGTTGAAATGGTGACAAGACTTCCATGGCGGGAAAATGTGTGGGCTTTCGGTTTAAAGATGGAAGACTGGACAGCGCTTTATGTTCTTAATCAAGAAGCTTTTAGAAACGTCACCGGTTCTAGCTTGGATGAGTTTCTGTCCAAAACACTCTTGGAGGTATTTCAAGGGTGTTTACAGCTTCAGAGGGACAATAACACAGGTTTTCGCATGAGAGAAAGCCAAAGTAAGGGACCAACCTTGGACATTCTTTACGAACTGTTCAACACAAATGGAAATGAACTTATTCGGTTTGGAGGTATGACCAAAGCGGATTTTGACGAGCTGTCTCCCTTTGCAGTGGTTCCACTGGTGTACAAATATGTGGAAGCGAAGTTCAGCGTGCCATTAGAAACACTAGAAGCATCGCTGAAATTGCAGCCCGGAAATCTCAACAAGCTTGCACCAACCGAATGGAAAGAGGTGATACCTTTTGTGAAAGAAGAAGTTATTCGAAGCGGTCAACAGCAGCTTCATGTTAGTCTGTTAAATTTCGCAAAGCTTCAAAAAGAAACAGTGATGAGTCTCCAGAACTTAACATTGCCGCAGTTGGAATCCAAGTGGGACACCATTTTGACAAGGCTTATGATTGGTAAAATGGCCATGGACAATGAGTCATTGCTGTATATCATGACGTCTACTGGGCTTACAAATGAGTCGACAGAAAAGCTGACCGTATTGAATTTTATTGAAAACAGGATAAACCTCACAAAGTTAGAACTATTACTACTCTATAACTTCAGCTCCATCGGAATCGAAGCACTCGGAAACTACACCTTCAAGGAAGTTTCTCAATATTGTCAAATAAGTGAGGATGATCTTTATAATAAAAGGCCACATGACATCGTGGTCTCGCTTCTGGGACATATTAACGATATGACATGCCCTAAAGTTGCTTCACTTGTTGCTGCTGCGACAACTACTGTCAATGAATTGGCTGCAAAATCAAACTTTAATGTACAAGATGATGTCAGTTTATTGATGTTGTTTGAAGATCAATTTCAACTACCCTGGCCAAAGATTGCATGGGCTGTGAATGCCTCGTTACCCGACTGGCCCGTACTTGGTGCAATATCTCTGTCCAATATCTCCACCCTATTATCAGAGAACACGGAAACCTTGAAGCGTCAAAAATCGTTCAGGGAAATTACTAGTCAGCTTTTGGCCCTCTCACCAAATTCCTCTAGTAAACTCGTACATGACTACCGTGAAAGGCTAGTCAGTAAAGCATCCAGTCTGTTTAACGTCAACTCGACTAAGTTGTGCGAAAACTGCAGCATCATTAACTTACTGTGGAATTCGCTCACACAGCTCAGTTTCAAAACTGATTTTGATCTTCATAATCTTCCACATGAACTGAAGGTTTCTCCATATGAGTTCAACTTAACTCTTCCATCGCAGTGGTCACTGATAGTATTTCCAATAGTAAAAGGAGCCTACGCGAGAGCTGCTCAGTCACTTGAGATGTCCCCTGATCGTTTGTCAATCCTCCTGGATATTCAACCTTCAGCTATCGAAAATATGACTGTCAGAGAATTCCATGATGTCTCGGAGCAGTCTATTCAGCCTTTAATTTCTGCCAGGACTGCTTTGACGGAATCTCCATTGATAAACCTCATAACTGCTGGTGGAAAGAATTTCTCAGCCCTGAAAAACAACGGTTTATTTGATCTCATCAACTCGCTTGTTAATATTCCTATTCAGAATCTTACCTTTATCTTCAACTGGACGGCAGAACAGCAGGCCATACTCAAGAATTACACTCTGGATGATATGATTTATTACAGGGGAGTGAAAGTGGGAAATGAAACCCTCCTTTCTTTGGCCAATTTTGTCTTGAGGGAAAATCTCCCCCCACGCACCCCAACGCCACCAACGTTACCCCCGTGTAAAAGAGGATTGACCAGAGAAGAGAACAACGCAAAATGCACAGGTACGTTTGCCGTTAGTTTCCAGACTAAGGCAAATTGTCAAAAGAACCTATTTGTTCAGTAACTGTGCGAAGGGTAAACGTTTTCGTACAGAATTGGTCTTCGTCATTTTGAGAGCATTTCTTGTTTTTGCTCTTTATTTTAGTATAATTTTGCTGTTCAACACGGACCTATTTATTTCTAATCAATTCATCAACCAGTCTTGGTTTGCAGTTAAACAACGGAGGCATTTTGAAGGCGATTGTATAAAAAATGAAGATCTTGATAATCAAAGAAATACGTGATCTGGATGATTCCTGTTTTCCTTGATGTGGAAACATCATCTCAGGATGGAAATTTACTTTAGCTGTCTTTTGCCTGCCCACCTGTTTACTTAAACGAAGTGCTGAAAAAAGTGTTAATAGCACTATGAGACAAAGTTTCAATGGTGTCGTTTTCTCCTCGGAACATTTCAAGCTTAGCAGAGAACTTTTTCTTTTGTTGCATAGATATCCACGAGTGCAGCCCTGGAATGTGTGGCGAAGACAGTCAATGTCAGGACTATCATGGTGGTTTTGACTGTGAATGCAAAGTTCCTGGTCATTTTAAAGCCAGATTCAATGAGTCATGCAAACGTGAGTAACAGTTATATTGTATGTGGCACCTCATCCTAGATCGTTAGACAATTACTTTCCGCAGCTCTACTTTGGTATAGGACATATTTTAAGAAAATTTAATTTTGACAATGCAATGAACATCAGCATCAAAATGTTTTTTTTTTTTTTTCAACGTGGGCTCATGGGAGTATGCTTTGGTTGATAAAACCAAACGAAAGCCTAGGGTGGATGCAAAGATTAATGGATGAATAGATTGGAATTTTTTTATGAACTTTTGAAAACTGTGGGTAGCGCACCAACTAAGGTTTACCTCACAGATCATGCCTTCCCTTTTGCAGCTTCTAAGACATTTAGAGGCACTCTGACCATAACAAACAAAGTGTTTGGGTCATCCCTCAAGAACAAAACAACCGGGGATTTCTTCGATTTCAAGGAAGAATTTGAAACCACGGTAAGTCTCTATACCACGTATCTTTCTAAACAGTTGAATGCAACCCTTGTAAATTGCCTCATACATA